ACATCTCTCCAACATCTGCACCTTTTATTGGTCTTTAGTTCATCTGTATTCGCCCCCACTCCTCACTCGCTCCGGAGCAGTGTGAAATGTGCTTAATTTGAGTGAGCGGACAGAGTGTGCCTGCAGGACCCGCGCACAACATAAACCTTTAACTAGCGTGCATGGCCTTGTTGACTTTTAATCAGACTCTGTGGAGGAGCGCGCAGTCGTATTCAAATGGCGTTATGATCGATGCTTGGCCCGGGGGAAGCTGGTCCTTGTAGTCTTTTTGTACTGGGAGCTTTGGGAGCGGGTGGGTGGATTGAAGGCCAATTGATAGGTTGAATTGTTCGGAAAAGCGGGCGCGTTGTGGGGGAACTGGGTTAGAGGCTCCAGAGACGTTTTTGAAAGGTTATATCTTTTTATGGCCATAATTGAAAAGCACGGGAGTTTGACCGTCGCCTGGCCTCTCTCTCTCCGAGCTGGGAGGACTAATGAAATTCTGTCTGAAACAAATGCGGGGAGTGTGTTTGGGGAGAGTTAACGGTTATACAGCAAGCTCAATATAGAGAGTCTGTGTTATGTGCCAGACAGAGTGGCAGTGACGAATGGAAAAGTATTCATTAGCAGAGGTGGGAAGTACTCAGCTATATTTCCTTGAGTAACTGGAACATGCATATATATATATATATATATATATACGGTTTCAAAACATAACAAAAAGCATAAGGAAACTAACTTTTAAAATACTTAGTCTAGGGATGCACCGATCCAGCTTTTTCAGTTCCAATACCAATTCCGGTACTATAGGCGAGTTTCATTGTTGACAAAAGCGTGCGTTGCATGCTGGGAATTATTTTGATCGGTGGCAAGAAACACTAATTCAACATGATGGACGGAGCGAGAAAGTACGTAAAGGGTATTGATCCCGGTTATTTATCCACTCTAACGGCAGAGGACCCAAGACCATTTGACCAGAAATTGGTCATAAGCATCGATGGACGACAAATCACCCTTTTCAACCCCGACAAAGCCTGGACCAAACCAAATTTCTGGTCAGAATCGCCAACTACCTGGACAAATATTCACTTCGGCAATATCCACAATGACTTGGTGGAAACTCCTGGGCCATTCACAGCAGAAAAGATGAAAACCTCCAAGAGTCTCGATGTGTTGTTGAACTTGTTGGAGTCCACGGTTTGTTAGGATCTTCTACGTTTGCTCTGCGAATGTTTGAAAGCCATTTAATTCACCGTTAGTGGTTCTTTTCACTCAGAATACGAAAAAGACATTTTCCTTCTTCCGTGCTTCTATTTGTGCATCCGATAATGCAGCAGGAATTTACCATTATGGGGGATAAATACGCGAGGTTACGCACTGTGTTTGACGCTATCGTGCTTCTTGCCTCCAACCAAAATATTTCCCAGCATGCAACGCGGGCTTTTAATAACAATGACGTCAGCTGAAACTCACCTATAGCTTTAAGTCTCAGCCGATATTAACCAATACCAGTGCAGATAGTGAAAACAGCATTTACTATATTTCCTTAAAACAAAAATACAGTAAGACAGAACTGATCCAGATGTGTTATGTAGCAGTTATTTATCTCTGAGGTAACTACAGAACAACTTTGGTAAAAAAAAGTTATATAATAGCTGAACCGATATTTGGAAGCTGATGTCCGAGACAGCAAATTTTTCTTCAGAATTATTCCATACCAGTATCGATATCAGTGCATCCCCCTAACTTAATCCTAATATAATCCTTATATACAAGGAATGATATACATGTTTGAAAAGGCATCACTGGAAGTATTTGTTCCCATCCCTTTTCCCCAGTGTTAAATGATAGATTCTACACATTCTGTTTTTTTTATCATTTGATCAGGATATTTACATTTCCCCGTTTTTTTTTTTTTTTTTTTTTAAACATTCTTCTTCTTTGTAATTCTTTTTTTGTGCTTTATATGTACACATATGCTATAAGTACATCGGTGTGTACTTTGACTCTCAGCTCAGTGTGTACAATTTGTCTGCTCAAGAACCAGCCAGCATCTATACTGTATTTCTTAAGACAGCTTAGGTTGCATGGAGTCGATAAAAATGCAATTCTGATGTTTTATAGAGCATGTAGGGAATCAAATTTACATTATGGTAAGTCAACATGGTTTGGTGACCTGTCAGTCAAACTTAAATCACAGATTTTTACCTGGACTAAAAGACTGGGTGTAGCCCCTAATTTACTTTTTGAGGAGACTATTAGGAAGCTCGGCAAGAAGGAGGTCAGTGACTCATGTTCTTCACACTCAGTTTGAGTTGATGCTGTTAGGCAGAAGGTACAGAGTCTCACACTGTAAACTGAACAGATTCATACATTCTTTTATGCCCTAAGCCATTCATCTGCTAAACTCAGAGAGTGCAGTTAAAAAATAAAAGTAAAAGGGCTTAGGGAATGTGCAACCAAAAGTGCACACAGGTCAAGGGAATGTGCAATTATTAATAGAATACAAGATTGTGAAGGGCTTGCCTGTGAAGAGTGACTTTAAGGTCCTGTTGGTGTGTCACTCGTGGTCATACTTGGTCTCTTATTTTTTTCTGTTCTATTCTTGATGTTTGTGGGGTGCTTATGTTGTTGCGTTTTCATGTCTTTGTGTTAAAGCTGTGATCTCTTGTCCCAAGACAAATATCTCCCATGGGAGACAATAAAGGATTATCTTATTTTATCTTATCTTACACCTTCTTTTAATTCCACTGGCAAACTCCATATAAGCTACTTCCACCTCCTTTTTGATGAAAGTTAACTTCTCTGAGTATTGTTCTAGCAGCATACTTATACTCCTACTTCAGTAATATTTTTATTCAAGTAACAGTACTCCTACTACTTGAGTAAAAGTTTTGGTTATTCTTGAGTCAGTCTACAAGTGATTTTTTTATTTTTGTGTCTAACCTCTGACAATTTTGTTCATTATTTAATTACATTTACATACAGTTACTCTTTAAAGGTGCACTGTGTGACTTTTCTCATTACTTGTATCCATGGAGATGTTATTTCTTTGCCTGGAATGTGTCACAATATGGTATTAGACTTGATCATCTGTGGAGAATTGACCCCACTCATAGTAAGAATGTATTTCAAGGCATTTTTAAGCAACTTTTTAAGCAAGATGTATACATTTAATGCTGTACTGTGGAATATTCCAGACAAAACAATAACAATTGCAAAGACAAACAGATGGCAGAAGGTTACACAATGCACCTTTAAGTTACCCTTTTTTCTCAAGTATCTTTTTACTCTGCTGCACTTGAGTAATTTCTTGGACCATGACTTGAGTAATATTATTTTGAAGTGACGTTACTCTAACTTGTCAACTGTTTTTCACCATTTGGGATAGAAAAAGATCTCGTGCCACAAAAAGCTTTGAATAGAACACATTTTGCTGTTCCAGGGACCAGAAGGAGATGGTCCTTCGACTTTTTACTCAACACCAACAAACATCCGATGGCAGCGAAGATTCCGAGTAAATAGATTCTCGTGAACAGAGATGAAAAAACACGATAATTACAAAAAGAAGGTGCTCGTGATGTTAAAGTGCATTATTCTTGGTCGTACGGATGTGGGGATGTGGGGATGGGACAAGAGCTCGTGCCTCTGTATCTCGCAAGATCAAATTGCCATTAGACTGTGCACACGTGTGGAGAATCCGTGATCTCATGAGAGTGGTGCTCTGTTACTGTTTTGTGTTCTGGGCAAGACACTTCGACTGGCTTCCCTGTGATGTGTCTGTATGCTGGACTGTATTTGTGATTGTGAAGACAGAAGCCCACAAAAAGAAACAGAAACGAACCAAAAAAAGGAATTGAGGGCCAATTCTCCTACCTGACTGATCAATAAATACATCAATAAATAAATACAACTGAAGAATGAGTGGTAATTCAGCTTCCTGATTGGTCCTTACATATTAATGAATACATAAAAAAAAAAAAATAAATAAAAAAAACATTGAGAAACGAAAGGTGCACTATATAACTTTTCAGTTGAGGAGTCAGTCACCTGCTTGTTTCTATGCATATGTCATTTCTCTGCCTGAAATACATGTACATGAGAAAAGAATTTGGTGGACCCTCCCCCAGAAAAGTTACACAATGCACCTTTAATTTAAAAATAATTCAGCTTTTGGACTGGTTTGTACAAAATATGAAATATAAAACAACTGGACAACTTAGTGTTTCGAAGTGGGGCGAGACAGTAGAGTAGCAATACAATGTTTGAGACAAAAAGATGACTGAAACAAAACTCTATTCCCAAGTAAAAAAAAATAAATAAATAAAAGAACACCAGAGCCTAAAGCTGTTTTTTACATTTTGGGTTAACATAATTAGTGTTTTAAGTGATTCACCACTGAGACTGCAAGGACGTTACTAATTACATATAAATGAATACCTGCATTGCAACCAATCTGGATTCTTCTTTTAATACTATAATGGCCACATTCACTACAGTATGTTTACATGCACAGAGAACTCCAAGTGCACTACACAAACAAATTCAAGTCAAAGCCCCAAAACCTTAACCTGATTCGTCAGCCGATTTCACTTCGTGGAAACCGTCTGACCTCACAGTATTAGGATTCGTTTTCTTGACGTTTTCGATAGTATTTGGTTGTGACGTATGTAATGCGACAAATCCCGTAGGAAGAAGAGCAATAACGTCTTTCCCCTTGATAAAATTCACCAAACATTCTCTTTGTTCCGGCTTTAAATCCTTGATCTTGGGAATCGTTGCCAAAACAGAATGTATGTCTTTGTCTACATCCATCTCGACCGCTTTGTTTATTTGTTTACTGTTGTGCTGTACCGGCAGACAGGCGTTTGAGTTTGACGTCATGGCTTCACAGCTCTTCTTTGATTGGCCGATGCACAGCCTACAATTTCCGGGGTTCTTGCAAACCGTCTGTGCATTCCAAATCCTGACCTAGTCGCTGGAGAGAAATGAAATTGAGTGGAGGCACCAAAACCTCAGACTGCAGATCCAAAAAATGACTAAGTGTGAATGGGAAACTGCACAATGTTCAATCCAATCCACTTTATTTATATCGCACATTTTAAAATGACATGTGACAGTTTCCAAAGCCCTGCACACACAAATTAATACAATAAAAGACAGTAAATCATAAATAAAAACAATAAATAAAAAGTGTTAAAATGCTCAAAGCAAAAAAAGGTATAAAAATGAATAAAATCTAATAAAAATTTAAATAAGACCCATTTTTACTCACTTTTAAGACGAGACTAATAAAAAATGCCTATCATACATAAAAGCACACTTCTGGCAGACATAGATAAGAAACATCTCATTTACGTTGAGAATTAAATTTTCAGACTTGCTGTGCTATTTGCTCTCTGCAGCATAAATAAGCATATTGAAGCTCTGGTAGGTTTTACTTTCACTTTAATGGAGCACACCGCAAAACACAACAATAAAACGACCAATGTTAGTACGCCATAAAAGGACCGGAGTTTGTCATCTCTGCTGATCGAAAATGAGCAAATGTCCAAACACATGTCTAATATTCTCCTGGTTGTTTTTTACCTCGTGCAGTTGAACGCCTCTCCTAGTCTGTTCCTGGGTTTACATGCATTCTGAAAAATGTGTTTATAGGTGCACTGTGCAACTTTCTGGTTTGGTTGGGGGTTCATCACCTGCTTGTTTTTATGGATTTATCATTGCTCTGTTTGGAATGTTCCACAGTATGACATTAAACAGCTCTACCTTACATTACCTACCTTATAACTCAAAAATACCTAAAAAATAAAGGCATTCTGACTGTGAGTGGGGTCACCTCTCCACAGATCTGACCTGCGGTTTGGTCTCCATGAAGATAGAAAGGTTTAATACCATACTGTGAAACATTCCACACAAAGCAATAACATCTTCATGGAGAATAGCATTTGACAGTCCTACACCAGAAAAGTTGCACAATGCAAGAAACAAATAGTATGGTATAGTAAGGAACAAACAGTGTACAATTTTGGACTGTTATTGGCCCTTTAACATGGTCTTGAGTACTTTTTCTTTGGGATTTCATGATTTAGAACTTAAAAACAAACAAAACAAACAAACAAAACAAAGAAATTATTTCTCAGCCTCAGTCCTTCCTATACTCTGATCTGGTGCAGCTTGCCGTCTACTGGCAGCAAAGAGAATTACCATGTGACAAACAATTAATAGTAATGAGAAACATGTCTGGACATATTAATGTTAGCACGCAGCAATAATTATGCCAGAAATGATTCAAATGAGTCCGCTGATGATTTATGAATAACTGGGCTTCTATATATGACGTCACCATCCTGGGAATTTCAGATGACGTGTTTTGTGAGGCTCATATGGCAAGCTACTGGCACCACCTAGCCTCCGTTCATTTCTCTCCAGCAACTAGGTCAGGAATCAGAATACACTAGACGGTTTGCAAGAACCCCGGAAGTTGTAGACCTCGCATCGGCCAATCAGAGAAGAGCGGTGAAGCCATGACGTCAAACTCAAGCGCCTGTCTGGGTCCTTTTTGTGGAACAGCACAACAGTAAACAAAACGGTTGAGATGGATGTAGACGAAGCCAGACATTCTGTGTTGGCAACGATTCCTGAGATCGATTTAAAGCCAGAAGAATGAGAATGATGAGAATGTTTGGTGAATTTTATCAAAAAGAAAGACGTTATTGCTCTTCTTCCTACGAGATTTGGCGCATTACATACGTCACGACCAAATAGCAGTGACTGGTTAAATTTAAAAAAAGTACCCACCTACTGTCGAGTGAACGAATCCTAATGCTGCGAGGTCAGACGGTTTCCACGAAGTGAATGAATCAGGGTAACTAAAAATAGCATGAATGAAGCAAAACAGAACTCCAGGTATGTTTTTGATGTGGTAACAATAATGGCTAATGTGGTCATAATATGTGTTCTTTAAATTGGACTAGGCCAGTTATCCAATTTTCCAACATGCTCTCTGAAAAGTGTCCAGAGGTCCGTCATTAGAACCATACGAGGAGCCATTCAGACATCAAAGGCGGTGCAGTGCAGTGTAGATGCTGGAATGACATGTCTTTGTGTAGAGCCACAGAACAGGGTCTAACACCATCACTGCTCGCTCTGTCCATCTGACACTCTCTGAAGACTCCGCCGAGCTCTGAAATGTACTGTCAGACACATGAAGAGGTGGGGGGTGAGGGAGAACAACATGCAGATACTAACTGGAGACTAATGAAGAGCGAGATGACAAACTGCACATTTGCTCTGACATAAAATGAATTAAATGGAAAAAATGCGAAGATTTAGATTGGTCAGTGTTTCTGGAGTAGGAGGGGATATGAAAAGTGGGCTCGAATGTGAAGGGGGTTAGAATTCCGCCGATGTGCGACTTCCACAGGGAAAGATGACTGTCCAAATGTGCTCCTTCTGAGTGGAAACATGCAATCCCCTCGAAATGCCCCCAGTGACAAGGTCTGTAACTGCCCTCCCAGTGACCCAGTTTGTAGACTGTTTTATGGTAATGAATTGTGTAAGTGGAGGTGTAGATAAACATTTATGACTTTAAACAGAAGACAGAGATTTGTGTATTTAATCATGTGGTCCCAGTTCAGGAGCTGGAGCTTGTTTAATATTGTACAGTGATGATAATGGATTGAAGTGATGAAGTGTTTTTATTGTTCTTTTGCATAATGACTCGAGTGGTTTGAGAGTAGTGAAGTCTGCATGTGACCAGGCAGTTAGACAGTATTTGATCTGGGGAATCGTGTGCAAAGGCATTGCGTGACAGCTGGTGTGATGAAACGCTAGTTGGACAGGTGGAGTTTGACTTTGTTACGGACTTTCTTGACTTGTGATTTAAATGTTAATTTAGAGTCTAGCTGGACTCCAAGGTATTTGTTTTCAAGTCCAACTTGAAGCCTCTGTCCTGACAGAGATCAGCTTGTACAACGGGGTCGCTGGATTTGGAGAAGAACATTGCTACAGTTTTATTTACATCGAGCTGTAGACAAGACTGACCGAGCCAGTTTGAGACATGAACTGTAGACTGTGTGGGGACTTGTCAGGTGCTCTTGTGAGGTGCTCTTGCTGTGTGTGTGTGTGTTAGTGTGTGTGTGTGTGTTAGTGTGTAGTCTGCAGATGCTGAGTGTGGATGTTTGGGACAGACCGCTGGGAGTAGAGTAATGGGCTAGAAGCTGGAGACTAGATCCTTGTGGAATACCGGTGGTTGCTATGGCAATGGTCCAAATTTTTCATCACTCTGAAATTCATGGATTTAGATATGATATACTGATCTAAAACAGTTTAGTCCATTGACTGACTACAGAACCAGTAGGGCAGTAGTTTACAAAGTAAGGGATTACTGAAGTCAAATTTGTTCTTAGTAACACAGTAATGTAATTAGTTACAACTGAAGTACCGTATTCTTCAGACTATAAGTCACACTTTTTTTCATGCTTTGGGTGGTCCTGAGATTTATACTCAGGTGCGACTTATATATTTAAAATTTAGGGTGCACTAGGCTTGTGTGTCAGTATCTGCTGCTCCTATTACTCCTGTACCACTGTCACTTAGCTCTTCTCCACATGTCTCCTGTTGCCATGAAACTTTCCTGGAAGTCACTGGATGAATCAACAAAGCCTGGACTGACAACCGAAGCCATCCTGTTGGGATTCAGAAAGGCCTGAACTCAAACTCTAACTGCTACAGAAGAGGAAGCGGCGCTCCGTTTACCTCCAGAGGTCAAGGAGTTGCTCAGAAATGACACAGAGGATGAAGAATTGAATGGATTTAGTGATTTGGAGTGAGATGGAGAGTTTGTTAAACTTTTTCTGTTCTATAGTTTATCTGAAGAACTGTTCATATGTGACATTAACAGTCTGTTGTTCTTTGTTCTATTGTTATTACTAGAACTTGACTTTACACACGAAATGTCAGTTCCTGATCTCTGAGTTTATAAAATACATTTCCCCCAATAAGTGTGACTTATATATGTTTTTTTCTTCTTCATTACACATTTTTTGGCTGGTGCGACTTATACTCTGCAGCGACTTATAGTCCGGAAAATATGGAAATTAGATTATAGTAGGTTGGACTAGTAAATTTTATTTTCCTTTTGAAAAGAGTTTGAGAAGTTTTGATATTTTAAAGAATCAAGTAGGATCAGTAGAGGGGAGTGGGCGGGTTTAGGGGGTAGGTTAAAACATACATTTTCTGAGCATTTAAAAACCTCAAATACTCTACATGCACGATTAGTTAACCATGCATGAATCACTTAAAATACAACTCTTTACAAAACAAAACAAGTTAGTATACAAGTAGTATACAAGTTACAAGCTAACAATGAGGGAAACTATTATAACATGGTGAAAAGATCATAACAAAATAGAGCGACACATCCCTTTAATGAACGTGGAGACCCCTGCATGTTTTTGATAAAGAGACAACTTTATAACGTGGTTGTTTTTCCATAAATGTGCTACTTAATAAATAGTAAATTACATGCAGAAAAAAGTGCACCCAGAGATCCAAACCGTGCACCTCGCCCAATCGTGGTCTAAATGAAGAGCTCCTTTTAGCTCCGTTTACCTGGGCTGTGGGGACGAGAACACGCCGCCGCTAATCCAAGGCTAATGAAGGCTAACCGTGCTAATAATACGAGCGCTGTCAGGGGGCTAGCTGCTCTGATTACCACAGCTGCCACAGGGCTCCACTCCCAGCTCCAACTCCGATCTGATTAACTCGCTAAATGCTGCATGTTATCAAGACCACAGATATGGCTCTCTCTCACAAACCTGCTACTTTGATATACTAGTTGAAACAATAGTACTTAAACTTGCTAGATAGGTGTTTTTTTTATTTATTCTCAGGTAGGTGACCCTTGCTGTAGGAGGCCACATCTTTACATTGGGCCTGTATACTAGGGTGACCATATTTCCATTTGTGAAAACCTGGACACCTTACCGGGGGTGGGGCCTCCACATTGAGCTACAGTCGTCCCTCGCTATATCGTGGTTCACCCTTTGCGGTCTCGCTGTTTCTCCGATTTTTTATT